AATTTACCTGATGCAAATATTGCCGGCTTTTCTCAGTCTCCATCAGATGCAGCAGACTTGAGCCCAGCACATTTTTTTTTTCCAATAAACAATTTCGGCTCTAGTCTACCCACGCAGATCTTTGAAATACTGTATTTATCGGAGTATAAGACTCACTTTTTCCCACACTAAGAGGATGAAAAATTGGGTGCGTCTTATAGACCGAATGTAGCCAAAAACGCAAGGCACGGAGGAGGCAATGGTCTCTGGCAATCTCTGCAGCCTGGAACAGCTGATTGGGGGTATTTCGGGAGACAGATCCACCCGCCAATCAGCTGCTCAGGCTGAATCAGGCTGCAATAATGTCCTGAAGCTGACCTGGCTGTTCGCTATTTGCTGCATAGATGTGTCAGAGTTTGTAGCAGCAATCACATTCCCAAAGCACACACAAGTAACTGATTCATCAGGATTCAATAACTTCTCTTTATATATAACATAACACATTAAGTAAATATACAATACCAAAAGCAGGTTTGTGGCAGTTCAGTAGAGAAGTTTCACTTTCAGTTTTAGATATCAGCACAGCATGCAGCTTTAGTACAAAACAAGCCATACCCAGGCTCCTTGCTGCCTCCTTCCTTGTTGCTCACACAGCAAATACTGTTTCTTTCCAAACAACCCTCAACTCTCTCACACTCTGATAGGATACAAGCCAGATGAATACCATGGAACATGGTCTCCAACCAAGCATTTGGAAGCGTGGAGGCCAAAATTGCAACCCGGAACACTTGCTGCCTTGTCTGACCGCTTCCACGCTTCACCTGCTTTACTCACCTGCGACAATCAGCTGTACTTTTGAAGTTGCATATCAGACACAATGAGGCCCGTGCGTGCTCACAACCAGCGAACTAATGTGCTGATGCTGTTTGTTAAGGACATGAGCTGGTAGGCAGAGGCAGAATTTTTTTCCCCTTATTTTCCTCCCCAAAAACTAAGGTGCGTCTTATACTCTGATGTGACTTATAGTCTGAAAAATACATACATACATACATACATACATACATACATACATACATACATACATACATACATATGCTTAAGTAATTCCTAAAGTTTGTAAAATATTAATGAAAGTGTATTTGAGAGTATCTGTGTAAAGAGAAAGTTAAAGAAAAAGACGCATTAATTTAAAGAAAAGTTTAGGGTTTTAAAAAAAGGATGTATACAAGAATAAATTATTCTATGAGGGTAAGTTGGAGGGAGTGATCTTAATTTAATAGTGAACTTTAAAGTATGCATGTTAAGAGGAAAACAAAGATGCATTAGAAAGTTTTAATTTTACAAATGTTTCTAAAGAAAAGTTTAGTGTTTTAATGTGGATGGACAAAAAAGTAAGGTTAAAGAATTTGAAAGAATACAGCGAATTTTGTTAATATGAAGTGATAGTTTATAAAGCTTATTAAGTGCAAATAGAAACACATATTATTTTGACAGCAAGGAATATAAAGCAGAAATTCAATTGTTTTATTCAAAGAGTAGAATATATTTAATTATGTTTTTTTATTTGAATATCACTTCTGGATTTTGTGTTTGTGATGAAAAAAACTTTATGGTTTTNGGGCAAACAATGGATACAAACTCAAGGTAAATCGCTCCAAACTTGATTGCAGAAAATACAACTTCAGCAATGCCTAGAATATTCTACCTGACTCTGTTGTTACATCCTCAAACCCCAAAACCTTAACCTTAAACTGTCTATTGTGGACCTCACCCCATTCCTAAGAGGTCTGTAAGGGGGTGTGCATAAACGCACCAGCGTACCTACAGTCCCTCCCCTAAAGTTCCCATCTATTTGTTCTCATTTCTTAGGCATATACATAAACCTGCTTATATTTATATGTTTAGATCAGTGGTGGGTTTCAAAAAATTTTGGAACCTCTTCTGTAGGTGTGGCCTGGTGGAATCTCTTCTAACTGGTTCAGTAGATTTGACGAACCGGTTCTACCGAAAGTACGTCAGATAGGCTAAAAATGAGCCGCTGTTGGTGGGAGATCCCAACAGATACACAAAAAGAGCTTCTTTGAAGACATTTAAAAGAAAAGGAAGATAGAAGACACAGGGAAGATGGCCATCTGCCAGACGCTCATCAGTTAAAGACAAAATGGGGTACTAAGGAAATAGGGAATAACAGGAGAAAGGGGCTGGGTGAAACTACAGATAAACATCTAGTCAAGGGAAATCTCTATCTAAATTAGTTCAAACATGTGGGGTTCTTGGTTTCCTTATCAAACTAGGTAACACCACCAGTGCAAAATCTCATGTGATCGGATGTCCATCCACAATGACTTGAAGGCTGGCCTAACCACTAGGCATTTTGTTTGAGAAACTTTGGAGAACGGGAGAGCAAGATCTGTGTCTGCCTTCCAAAAGAAGAAAAATAAAGATCAGGGTATTACAGACCATCCATCCATCCTGGGAAGATTCTAACGTAGATCAGAAAGCTATTGCTCTCCAAGAACCCTGAACACAAGATTGATTTTTCAAGAACAAATTCCCCATGTATTATTGAGGTTGAAGCTGAAGTAATCGTTGACAGGTAGGACATTGTAGCAGACAATTTTGTGTACTAAGCTTAAGTCAGTCCTTAATCAGTNCCTACCTACCTACCTACCTACCTACCTACCTACCTACCTACCTACCTACCTACCTACGCTCTCCTCAGAATTTTCTATTCTGGCATTATTTTTGGAAGTTGAGCACCCCTTAGACTGCACATTTTATAAGCAAAATTAAGGGCCTTGTTCTGTAGGCTGAAAGCAGGAATCCTATTGTAGCATTTTCAGAAAGAGTAGACAATCTTGGACTATTCACATAGGCACATTTTAATTTATGGGGTGCTTTAATTTTTTTTTTAGCGCTGTGAGACACTAAACCAAAAGACATATAACTAATTTCTTGAAGCAATGAAGGCTTATCAGGACAAACTGCTAAGCGGGCAAAATGCTTTTACCAAGGAAAAGACCAGACCTGGTCCCTGGGGAAAATATATATACAACAATAGGACTGAAAGAGTCACAGTCATAAACAAGCCATTAAACAAATTAATAAATAAATCCGAGTAGTTGGATGATCTTTCCAGCCTTTTTGATAAAACACACATCTCAGACAAATAAATGCAGCTTGGCTTTCTTCAAAAATGCCGTTCTTGTAATGTAATTTCCAGTTCAATCATGCAAGCCAAACAACACAACAAAATTTGCCTATATTTCATAGAGCTTTCCCCTTATAAATCAAAATGTGAGGTGCTTGCCATGCTTCTCTGTAAATTTGCATTACAATAAACCCTGATTATGATTGTAGCATATGCAAATTGAGTTTCCTGAAAACAGAATTATATTCAGCGTTGTGTTTATTTTATATAACACAATAAATGCAAATATGTGTGGGGTTTGTGGGGGGGGTGTCTTTTGAGGAGGGGGATATTTTGAAGGAAGCGGGAAATTATTCAAACCTGTCACTTCCCATCCACAAAAAACGTCTGCAAGAATGAATCTATTTGTTGAGGGTTCCAGGTGTTAAAACTTCTATTGCTTTCTATACAGTATTTATGTTCAACACTAACCAGCATTCTGCAGACAATGAAACAGGAAAGAATCCTGATAAAGGAAGACAGTGGAAAATCTAAATGGGTTGGCAATTGCCTAATAGTGTAATTGTGGCTTGCTGCAGGTGAGAATAGGTCTCTGGGGCTTACTTNATTATTTTGACAGCAAGGAATATAAAGCAGAAATTCAATTGTTTTATTCAAAGAGTAGAATATATTTAATTATGTTTTTTTATTTGAATATCACTTCTGGATTTTGTGTTTGTGATGAAAAAAACTTTATGGTTTTACCAATCAGATTTATTGTTATAGAAATGGCTAGTTATATACTATGTAAAAGTAAAAAGTTGAGGCTGGAATGTTGTTATCTTGTACTGTGCTAAAAAGAGTCGGAAGTCAACATTTATTTTTCTTTCTTTCCTTGTACCTCATATTTTCTTTCCCCATCTCTTTTTCCTTCCCTTAATTTCCTATTTTCTTTGTATTTTAAATATTGTTAAAAAGTCATTAAATGTCTCCTCACCCTAGCCAAGCCACTTTCTATGCCAACTCTCTCTGTTTTATCTTTCCTGAGACTTTTTCATCCTCCATTTATTGTTCCTTTAAATCCTGTCATCTCACTGATCTTAAAGGGGTTAGAAATAAAGTTGGTGATTTTGTTTAGTTCAGGATGTTCCATAGTTTCTTACCGTGTTTCCCGGGAAATAAGACAGGGTCTTATATCTTATATCAAGAATGTAATGCAACAAAGTTCGCTCAACTATCTGTATTTTATGAAATGTTAAGAGCCAAATAATCAGACAAAGGTTGAGATCAGGTAGCTTTCCTTCATCTGATTGTAGCCAATGAGCATGAGTGTTGAGAGAGCCAATCAGGCTGTCATCTTGTTTCGGCAATAAGCCAATCAGATCACAGTTTGGATTAGGTTATTGATGTCATGTATTAAAGCTGAAAGGAGGACATTTGTCAGTTATAATTTTTGTACATTTCGTGTTTTCTATGGTGATAATTTTTGTATATCTCATTTTTTCTACGTGTTTCACTATATTCTTCTTTATAGCTGCTTTTCTAATAGCAAATCCTTCATAAAAGTTATCGCATTAAATTCTTGATTAAATTATCTTTCCATTGATATATAATTTTATGGTACTACTACAAAAAAAGTAGTGTTATTAGCCATCAAACCTCAAAAATACACTTTTCCCGTAAGGTTTCCACAATTTTGGCCACTACTGTTCAGCTCAGCTATTAAAAACATGAGAGGTATTCAAATGTGCTACTGATTGTTCTTTTCATTTTTTACAGCCATTCCATTGCAAGGCTATTTCTCCATCCCCATCGGAAGAACCAGAGGGAAGAAGCTTTGAGTGTTGGCACTTCAGAACGCATTTCTCAATAAACACCCATCTCGGTTTAATATCGTGCAATGTTTTTATTAGCAGCATTAAAGGGTGTAGACCAGTGGCACGAATCCTAAATGATCAGAATGGGCCTCTTTGGAGCCACAATGATATTAAAAGCAAAGGGAGTTAAAATGCAGTTAGGAAAATAGAGTGGGTTAATTAAGAAGTCTTCGAACATGATTGTGACGAGCCTTGCCTGGAATAAAACTTTAGGGGGCTTTGGTTTGTTTCCCCTTCTTCCGGCCTTGTGCTGGAGCCTCCTTTGTCTAGGAAAAGAAAAGACAAGACATGAACACCGAGCCAGGCCAAGCAACTGGCCCCCCTTCTGCAACCTTTCTGTGGGGATCTCTGCTGACTAATGTGCCACCCAAACTGTAGCATCAACACAATTGAGGCCAATCACCCGCAGGCAAATCATCCTGGAAAGGAAGCCCAAGATTTGTCCCAGGAAACATACCCGGTATTTTTTGGAGTATAAGATGCACTCCCCTCCCAAAAGAGGGTGAATATTTGGGTGCATTTTGTACACCGAATGTAGCCCTGCCCACCCACCCACCCTTTGGCCTCTGTGCGTCCTCTCAAACGGAGCTTTTGGAGGCTGCAAACAATACCGATGGATGCTGGTAGGCAGAGGCAGAATTTTTCTTTCTTATTTTCCTCCCCCAAAACTAAAGGGTGTCTTATACTCTGGAGCGTCTTATACTCCGAAAAATATGGTATCCATTATGCAAATGTAGCACATTTGAATATATTTGTGAGATATGTTTCTGTCTTGTCGACTTTGTAAGGAGCCACAGGGCTGTGCCCAATAATGAGGGCATAATGCCCAGAACCAGATAGAGACATTGCCTCGGTGCTGGGTTACCATCAGTATGCCCATACCGGGGCATACTGGTGTCTGCCGGGAGCACCAGGTATCATTCCGTTCCAGTGCTCTGGAGGGCCCACCCGCCCTCCTTACCGGTATTTGAAGTTTTCAGAGCTTCCACGCACGAAGCGTACGGTGCCTGCGCGATGCTCTGTTGAGCAGCTGGAGTGTCACGGGCGGTAAGTACGCATGCGCACATTCATGTGGTGGGCGCCCGGCCCTGTTGCACCGTACCAGTTGCACTGGGATTCAGAACCCACCACTGAATAGCACTTAGACTTATATACCACTTTACAGCATATTGTTCCCAACAAATTGGGTCCTCATAATATTGCATTTCTGAGGAGTTTTAGAGATTTCAAGGAACAAAATAAACATTGGAGCCTTAAAAGATGCCAAAGGCCTAAGAAACCATCTCCAACTGGTTCTTGGTTTTGCTTCATGCCCTGGAGAATGCACGACATGTCACTTCCAAAGGCTACTCTGCTTTGTATTTTGGATCAGCACAAGCCATCTTCACACCTACATTTCTGTAACTGCAGTCCTGTGCTAAAATAACATCTACATTTGGATGCGAGTGGATGCGACAGATGAAAGGAGCCCTGGTGGCACAGAGGTTAGAATGCAACACTATGGCAAACTCTGCTCACTGTCAGGAGTTTGATCCTGACGGGCTCAAGGTTGACTCAGCCTTCCATCTCTCTGAGGTCGGTAAAATGAGGATCCAGATTATTGGAGGAAATATGCTGGCATTGTAAACAGCCCAGAGAGCCCAGAGAGCACTGAAGGCACTATGGAGGGTGTATATATATATATACACCCTCCATAGTGCCTATATATACTATATATATATATAGTAGTGGCCAAAATTGTGGAAACCTTTTGGGAAAAGTGTATTTTTGAGGTTTGATGGCTAATAACAACACTTTTTTTGAGTAGTACTATAAAATTATGTATGAATGGAAAGATAATCAAGAATTTAATGCAACAACTTTTATGAAGGACTTGCTATTAGAATAGCAGTTATAAAGAAGAAAAGTGAAACGTAGAAAAAAATGAGATATACAAAAATTGTATCTGACAAATGTCTTCCTCTTAGCTTCAACATCAATAACTGAATCCTACTGTGATCTGATTGGCTCATTGCCAAAACAAGATGACATCTGATTGGCTCTCTAAATACTCATGCTAATTGAAGAAAAGCTACCTGATATCAACCTAAGCAAGTCGTGCTTCCTTTTTCTGGTTATTTGACTATAACTTTTCACAGAATACAGATAATTGAACAAACGTTGTTGCATTATATTCCTGATTAAATTATCTTTCCATTGCTATATAAGGTTTATGGTACTACTCCAAATAGAAGTAGTGTTATTAGCCATCAAACCTCAAAAATACTATATACTTTTCCCAAAAGGTTTCCACAATTTTGGCCACTACTGTAAGTCTAAGTGCTGTTGCTAAAAGCAGGATGGCAAGGCTCCATAACTGAGGTGGGATCGGAACTCACATCTCCCCGTTCAAAGCTTAGCATTGGCAGGCCACGTTTGAAAGGAGATGCGTGGATCTCAAAACACTACTCTACTTACGAAGACTGTTGGCTTGGGTGCAAACGTATTGCCATCCTGGTGAGGGAAAGGGAACTGAACCGATGGATTCGAGACAGATTTTTCCGGGGAAGTTTTTCTCTGTTTCTGAGGCAAGTTGTCCCCGTGGGGTTGACCACGGAGAGTAAGCAGCATCTGCTTCATCGCAGCTAGTTCCTAAAGAAAGCAAAGTACAGGATCAAATTGCTGGATGTGAAATAGAAATGTCCTCCTGATATCACATATTGAACATGGCACCACAAATAATAGAAAGCAGAGTTTCAAGGGACCTTGGAGGTCCTCTAGTCCAACCCCCCCCCCCCTGCTCAGGGAGGAAACCCTATACCATTTCAGACAAAGGGTCATCCAATCTCTTCTTAAAAACTTCCAGTGTTGGAGAATTCATAACTTCTGGAGGCAAGTTGTTCCAATGGTTAATTGTTCAAACTGTCAGGAAATTTCTCCGTAGTTCTAGCTTGCTTCTCTCCTTTTCATCCATGGCTTCTTGTCCTGCTCTCAGGTAATTTGGAGAATAGCTTGACTCCGTCTTCTTTGTGGCAGCCCCTGAGCTATTGGAAGACTGCTATCATGTCACCCCTAGTCCTTCTTTTCATCAAACTAGACATACCTAATTCCTGCAACCGTTCTTTAGATGTTTTAACCTCCAGTCCCCTAATCATCTTGGTTGCTCTTCTCTGTACACTTTCTAGAGTCTCAACATCCTTTTTTACATCGTGGTGACCAAAACTAGATGCAGTATTCCAAGTGTGGCCTTACCAGGGCATTATAAAGTGGTATTAACCCTTCACATAAACCAGAGGCACTGTAGTCATGAGAGTGGCTATCTTCCCTCTANTCACTACTCTGGCCTTTCGAGTGCTCACCCTGGTGCTGGTATAATTAGCAAGAAGACAATGTTTCTTAATGTTTTTTGACACTCCCAAAGGCACTCAGCATTTTCTTTATCTTCCCTCTTCCCTCATGAGCTGAAAATCCTTCCTGCTGAAATCCCAAGCAGCATTTTCAGCCCCTGGATTATGAGACTCTTGTGCATATCCTGCAAAAGGCCTCCCAAGACATTCCCTACCCACCTGAGGAAATCTCTGCTCCTTACCTTACCTATGCTGCCCCTCCCTGCTCAGAAGCTAAAACTCTAGCTTAAATTTTGGCTCCCTCTTGTCTCTAGATGGTTGAAAGAGCTGCTTGCCGAAGAATGTCAAATCTCTTACCTGCACGTTACTCCACCCTGAAGTTCAGGTTGCCTGTTCTTGCACTCCTACACAAAGGTGCAGAGGGAACATCTTTGGCGGGGTACAAGAATAGACCTCTGATCTTCAGGATATGAGCTCTGTTTCTCTACCCGCTGGAGTAGTTTAGTTCCCCTCAGCAGGCAACTCTTTTCAGCGGTTGACCGACAAAAGCGCGCTCGACGAAACCGCGGTGACAAAACCACGAGTTCTAAACTGCGCCGACGAATGAGCGCTGAAGCGCGCTGACAACAGCAAGCCGACAGAAGCGCGCTCTAAACCTAAACCTAACCCTGACCCTTACCTTAACTTAAATCGAGATTCTGTCGGCGCGCTGTTCTCGGCGCGTTGATGACATCACGGGTTTTGCGCCACGTTTTGTCGGCACGCTTTTGTTGTGCGCGCATTTGTCGGGTCACGCTTTTCAGCCAACCCCCAGAAACCACCTCTCGGGGAGTGCTCCTAGTAGATGGAGGCACCAGCTTGTAATCTTTCTTCCAGCTCCCCCATTAACTTTCTGGGAAATCAGCAAAGATTGCAAATGGCAATCACATGATGACAGGGTGCTTTATACCCAATCATAAGTATGAACATGATTATGGGGGGGAGTAGGCTACATGTTATGACAGACTGAAGTTCTTTACAAGCCATCAAGCACCTTTTCCAAGGCCACTGTAACTTCATACCAATGTTAAATAATGGGTGGATGTGTCCAGGACTACCTATAGTGAAAAACTGATTAGGGTGTCATTGATTTCAGGCAATAGCTGAATGACAGGGAGTGTTCTAACCAACTAATTAAGGTCCAAAAGAGCAGAACTTGTAATTGCGATTTTTAGGGGCATGCTGCACTTTGAAAGAAAGCAGTTCAGGAAAAGGTTACTTATTTAGGCAATCTCTCTGGACGCCTTTCAGTCTGGATTCAGGCCTGGCTACAGCACGGAAACCGCTTTGGTCGCACTGAC